TCCTCCTCCTCATCGCCCTCCTCCTCCTCGCCGGCATACTTCTCCCCATCGGCCTCCTCCACCTCCTCCTCATTGCCCTCCTCCTCCTCCTCGCCGGCATCCACCGAGCGCACGTGCCTGTTTCAGGGGATTCCAAAACAGAATCGATTACGTCATCGATTCTCTTTTAGGATCGCCTCAGAACATGCGCCTCGCAGCGGCGAAGTGGCCCGTGCAGGTCCCCTGGTCAGGTGATTCCAAAACGGAATCGATTACATAATCGATTCCGTCGTCGAAATGCGTCATACAGGCGTCCGTGTGGAGTGGAGGGAGGGAGCGATGGAGGGATCAATCAATCAATCCTCCTCCCTTTCCTCCCCCTCCTCCTCCTCCTCGCCCTCCTCGTCCTCCTCCTCATTGCCCTCCTCCTCCTCCTCGCCGGCATCCTGCTCCCCATCGCCCTCCTCCTCCTCCTGCTTATTGCCCTCCTCCTCCTTCTCGCCGGCATCCTCCTCCCCATCGCCCTCCTCCTCCTCCTCCCCATTGCCCTCCTCCTCATTGATTCCTGTTTATATGCCCTGTTATTTGCTCTATCTTCAGAAGGGATCTCGGTGCTTCGTGTGGGATTTGCCATCGGGTTCAATTTATCGTTTTGCAGGCATTGCCAAGTTTGTCATGACATCTTGGTTGATCTTGTCCCCTCGTTGGCCTCAAGTCGATTGTAAGGGGCCGGTGCTTGCACGTGGGATTTGTCATCTAGGGTTATCATTCACGAATTGTTTCATTTGATTGATTGATTGATTGATTGATTGATTGATTGATTGATTGATTGATTGATTGATTGATTGATTGATTGATTGATTGATTGATTGATTGATTGATTTATGGATGGATGGATCGGTCGATCCCTGCCTGTATGTTGCTCTGACGCCTGTTCTTATGCGATCCCAAAACATAATCGATTACGTAATCGATTCCGTTTTGGAATCGCCTGAAACAGGCACATACACGCGACGGTTCGCCATGTTCAAGTGCCTCTTTGAGGCGATTCGAAAAGAGAATCGATTACGTAATCGATTCTGTTTTCAAATCGGCTCAAACAAGCACTTGAAAGTTGCGAACCACCGCGCGCACGTGCCTGTTTCAGGCGATTCCACAACAGAATCGATTACGTAATCGATTCTGTTTTGGAATCGCCGCAGAACATGCGCCTCACAGCGGCAAAGTGACCCGTGCAGGTCCCCTAGTCAGGCGATTCCAAAACGGAATCGATTACGTAATCGATTCCGTTGTGGAAATGCGTCATACAGGCGTCCGTGTGGAGTGGAGGGAGGGAGCGATGGAGGGATCAATCAATCAATCAATCAATCAATCAATCAATCAATCAATCAATCAATCAATCAATCAATCAATCAATCAATCCTCCTCCCTCTCCTCCCCCTCCTCCTCCTCGCCGGCATCCTCCTCCCCATCACCCTCCTCCTCCTCCTCCTCGCCGACATCCTCTGCCCCATCCCCCTCCTCCTCCTCCTCCTCATCGATTCCTGTTTACATGCCCCGTTATTTGCTCTATCTTCGGAAGGGATCTCGGTGCTTCGTGTGGGATTTGCCATCGGGTTCAATTTATCGTTTTGCAGGCATTGCCAAGTTTGTCATAACATCTTGGTTGGTCTTGTCCCCTCGTTGGCCTCAAGTGCTTCGGTGGCCCCTGTTAACAGTGGTGTGTTAACGAGGATTGCCCGCGGCCCATGTATGGCCCTAGTACAACATATCAGTATCATATTGGGCCTCGCCACACTACTCCCGACTTGGCCATTTTCGGGAGTGCAGCATCGCCACACCAGCTCCTGAGTTCAACCTGTCAGATTGAATTCGAGAGCTGTCAGAATGTGGCTCCCGAGAGCACTCCCGAACTCACTGCCTGCAAAGTTTTTTTTCCGAGAGACCTCCTGAGGGTCTGATCCCACCACTACACTACGGCCCTCGCTGTGCTACTCTTGAATCTTGAAAAATCAAGAGTTCATCACCGCTGCACTAACTCTTGATGCCGCGTCCTGGATTTCTATTCAAGAGCTGTCAGATTCACTCTCGGAAACGTCGAGAGTGAATCATCGCTGCACTAACCGTGGAAAACTGCTCTTGGTCCGGCGGTTCAAGAGGTGTCAGAAATGGCCCATAGGACGAGCTCTTGAAGTTTCAACAGTTGCCGCCTGCAGAAGTTTTTTTTTCAAACGAAGACGACGGGTCCCTTCATGCGGTTTGCAAATTCTAGAGTTGACCTCCTGTCTCGGTGGACAAATAGTCGCTGCCCTGTCGTGTAGTGTCTGTCTGACAGTGAAGAATGCTCACGAGAGTTGAGAGTCCGGAGCAAGAGCAGCGACAAAAACATTTGATGCCAATCCAGGAGTCTGACAGCGCTAGACGAACTCTTGAAAATTTTGCAGCGAGGCTCTACGCCTGTAGTCTTTAAAAAGCACTACAAAGATGTCAGCGGTCATCGCGGGACGAAGAAGAAAAATTGGATCCCACAAGGGCGACTTCTTCGGTGCTTCTCCTGGACCAGCGGCAGTTATTTGTGGGCTGTTGCAGAGGGCCGACTGGCCTCAAGGATTCCGCGAACCGAAATGCCACACAACGGTGTGGTCCACGTACATTTCTGATGCTGCAAACGGACAAAGGAGGAAAAATAAAAATAAAAAAAATTGCTCCCTCTTTTTCGTTGTAGAGATGCCCTCGCCACACCTATCCCAAAAATGCAAAAAAGTTCAGGAGCACTCACGAACGCGGGAGGTGTGAAATAACCTTTCGAGAGGGCTTGTCACCACACTGCGCTCTCCAAGGGGGCAGTCTCCAATTCGTCAGACGAGGCCCGACATTTTTTGGGAAGAGCAGATCACAAAACGGTGGCAACAGATGGTTGTCGGTCGAGGCGCACTGTTGCATACCGTGAAAGGTGCAAGACAGAACGAGAACTGACCTCTCATACAAAGTATCATATAGCGTAGCGAAAGACTGAGATACCAATGATCCGATCAATCAATGCTGCAATGCAGTCTCAACATACATCATCATCGTACAATGGTGTGAAGGGTCTTGTGCTCACACAAAAGAATGCGCCAGGCCCATACATACACAGACGAGGAGGAGGGAGAAACAGACCAAGAAGAAGAAGATGGGAGATGTCATCAACACCAAGTCTGCGATACAAGTCCCAAATAGTCCTCGTCGAATGTCTATATCTCAAAGTCGAGTCTGAACCAATGTCGTCAAGTCTCAAGTCACAACTTTTTCTCGTAGTCCATAGGTACTAAGAAGTTAGACAGTTGGAGGGTGAGGAAGAGATGGTGGACTTAGAAGAGGAAGAAGAAGAACTCTCTCTCTCTCTGTATCCACTACTAACCTGTGAAGATGGCGCCTTGATGCAGGTACCATGAAGMTGGAGCTGGAGCGATGGCGCCACAGGTAAGTAACATTGGCCTCCGCCAGTCTCTCTCCGATACTGTTACCCTACCACTAAGCGCCCAGCATTGAAGACTACAGCTATGGCGCCCAGCGCCTGAAGACTACAACTAGCGCTAGCTACCTGCAGAGCAGCGCTCCTCCTGAGTGCTGCGGCCGAATCCTGAAGACTTCTCTTGCCTACTGACAACTACCTACCCGTGAAGTGCATTGGAACCTCCTATGTACTACACAGGTCTGCCTCCTGACTGCAGGTGAGCAGTCTAGGAGGCTGCTCTTGCCAATGCTGAAGGGAGGCAGGGGCTGCAGCCGCAGCTCCTGCTCTTCTTGCCTGTTCCCGAAACCCTGCTTTTGTGCCTGAGTCTTAGGGTCGGTCAAAACGATGAGGGCCTGAAAATGGCCCTCCGTTTCAGGCTGAAAAGCCTCTGGGCTTGAAAGGCCCAGAAATAGGCTGAAAACGAAATAGGGCCTGCAGGCTCTCGTTTTTCAGTTTCAGGCTGAAACGATCGGGGCCTGTAAGCCCTATTTTCTAGGCTTTTAGGCTGAAGGTGCGGGACGGGTCCTGCAGGGCCTGTGTGGCTACGCAGTATGCCACACCCTCCCCTCCTTGAAAGACCGAGCTTTACCTGCGAGGGCGAAGTTGTCTGTCTGAGGGAGGGAGCACAGTCCGGGTGGGAGGGGCTGGTCGGGAAGCCTCCTGAGCTAACCGCTGTCTCTCATAATGTGCGTAGATTAGCGGTGCGGATGCTTTCAAGTCTGCTTCTGAAATCCACCGAGTGTCGTCGCGATCGCAGGCTTTGAATGTAACCTTGTACTGTCGCGGCTTGTTGCCGTACTTGCGATCGGTGATGACACAGTCAACCTCCTGATGACCATCCATAGAAGGAGGGTCCTGCGATCGTCGGCCCGGAAAGTCGTCGCTCTTGGCTGGCGTGTATGTTGCCAGCTTCGAGGCATGAAAAATTGGATGGACCGACAGATGTGGTGGGATGTTGATCACAAATGAAGGGCCATCGGGCTCATCGCCCGCGGCTGATGTGACAGGCCATGGTGCAAACCACTTGGGAAGAAGTTTGCGTGAGACATCCTGTTCCAATGCAAACTCTTCCGCGGAAACCCAGACCAGGTCACCGGCACGGATGGGACATGGTATGCGACGCCGGTTAGCTTGCTGCTGCATGCGGACTTGAGCCTTTTGCACGTTTGCGCGGGCTTGAGTCAGCAGTTCCCTGTACTTCCGGACGGAAGCGGGAGAGCAAGCGGCGTCAATGTCGGCTGGTCGTGGAAGAAGAAGATCGGCGAAGATGCAGCCTTTCTGTCCCCTGTGGTGCAACTCGAATGGAGTCACGCCGATCGTCGGGCGCATCGAAGTGTTGTAGGCGAACTCGATGTTGGGGAGGCGGTCAACCCAATCTTTCTGATCCGAACGGATGAGTGTACGAAGCATCAACCGAGCGGTTAGATGTGCCCGCTCCGTTTGCCCGTCCGTCTGTGGATGCCAAACCGAACTTGGTTTCATCTTCGTGCCGAACTCCTGCATGAGAGAAGTCCAAAATGCCGACATGAAGCGAGTGTCGCGGTCGCTAACTATGTCTTCCGGTACACCGTGGCCCCAGATCCAGCCGGTGTGCAAGAGGCGTGCCAGCTCGGGAGCCGTGGAGTAGTACTTGCACGGGAGAAAACACGCGTACTTACTCAAGCGGTCCATGACCGTGAGAATGTCGTCGTGTCCGAGGCGGTCACGGGGGAATGGTCGAGTGACGTCCATGGCAATGGAGAGACTGGCTTCCTGCGGAATCGGCATCGAGCGCAGCTCGCCGTAGGGGTTGCGGTTGCGGGGTTTGCTTCGTCGACAAACTTCGCAAGAGTCGCAATACCTCATGACATCAGAAACGAGGTCAGGCCACTGAAATCACTGTCGAAGTCGTGCAATCGTGCGAATGACTCCGAAATGGCCGGCGAGTCGCGAATCATGGTTCTCGCCGAGAAGGCGAGTCCGAAGACGACGGTCGCGTGGGACACATAGTAAGTCCTTGCCCCGCGAGTGGAGGAGCAAATACCCATCGACGATGCGATATAGGCTAGCCGGCGGGTGATCCAAAGAAAGCTGTGCATATAGAGTGGCAAAATCTGGATCGGACTCATAGGCCCTGATGAAGTGTCGCTGGAGCTTCTCGTCGAATGCGAAGGCATGATGTGTCACAGCGCAAAGATCAGGTCTGCACCAGAGTGCATCTGCTGCGCGATTGGAGAGGCCGGCGAGATGTTTCGGTGTGAAGTCAAATTGGCCGATGAAGTACATCCATCGTCCGATCGTGCTGCTCACCGTATCTTGCGTCTTGTAGTAAGTCAAAGAGTTGTTGTCCGTAACCCATGTGAACCTACGACGCCCTAGGAGGAAGTGCCGCCATCGCTTGAGAGCCATCACGAACGGGAGCAGCTCCTTCTTCCTTGCATCATCAATCGAATTGATGGGAGGCACTTTGTGGCTGAAATACTCCACAGGGTGCCAATCGTCGCCGTCGTGCTGTTCCAAGACTGCCCCAACGCCGTAGCCGGAAGCGTCAGTAGTCACTCTCGTCGGCAGGGTGGGGTTATAGATGCTAAGGACGGGTGCCATGAGCATGGTCGTCTTGAGTGCTTGGAATGACCGGCGTGCGTCGTCATCGAATACGAATGGCACCTTTGGCGACTGTAACCTCGTCATAGGTGCAGCACTCCGTGAGTATCCGGTGATGAATCGTTGGTAGTAGCCCGCCAACCCCATGAATGAACGAACGTCCGTGGTGTTGGTGGGCTCGGGTCATGCGCAGATGGCCTAGATCTTGTCCGCAAGCGGACGGATGCCTTGCGGCATCACATAGTGTTCCAAGTACTCCAGCTCCTGCCGCGCGAACTCGCATTTGTCGCTGTTGGCTTTGTACTTGGCTTGTCATAGCCGCTCCAAAACGGTGCGCAGGTGTTCCACATGCTCGTCCAAACTCCGGCTGTACACCAGAATGGCGTCGAGGTAGATAAGTACGAATCGATCTAGCATGTGTCGGAACTCCGTTGTCATAGCCGCTTGGAAAGTGGCTGGGGCATTCGTAAGGCCAAATGGCATAACCAGCCATTCAAAATGCCCATATCGCGTCTTAAACGCGGTCTTGTAGAGGTCCCCCTGCCGGATCTCGAGTTGGTGATAACCTGACTTGAGGTTGAGCTTGGAAAAGAACTTGGCGCCGCCCAATCTTTCAAGAAGATCGTCGATGCGTGGGAGAGGGTCGGCGTTCTTGACCGTTTGTGTGTTGAGCTCACGATAATCGATGCACAACCGCAGATCCTTGTTCTTCTTCCGGACGAAGAGAACAGGGGCACCATATGGCGATGAGCTAGGCCGAATCCAACCTTTTTCTAGAAGGTCGTCGAGTTGTGCCTGTAGCACACTTAACTCTTCCTCGCTCATTCGGTAGATGCAACTGCGTGGAGGTACTGCCCCGTCCTCAAGGATGATCTCGTGGCAGATGGACCGATCCGGTACTACTTCGTGCGGGTTCTCAAACATGTCGCTGTAGGCGTCGAGAAGCTCGGTGATGCGTGGGTCCGAAGATGAGTCCGTCGATGAAGCGTCATGGGGTGGGAGGGGGTGGAGAAAACACACCCCCATCTCCTCAATGTCGTCTCTGATGATGGAAGCTCGCATGCTCACAGCAGACACCACGTGGCAGTTGATCGAAGGGTGAGGAGTAGGCACCGTGCATGGGACTAGTACTCCGTTCCGATCGCGAACGTGAACGGTGCGGCGGTAGAAGTTCACTGGGTGATCCTCGCTTCGCAGCCATGACATCATGTCGAATTTGGTGTCCAGAATGTCAAAGGACATCGCCTCACTGGCGTGAGGGGCAAAGTACACGGGGACGTCATTAATGCACCGATCAATTGACTTGTGCATGTGACCGTCGACCAACGTAACTTGCGTAGGTTGGGACTTCCTCCGGACGCGTGGGCCCAGGCTGGCACGGACCATGAAGTCCTGACTCATGTAGTTGCAAGATTCTCCGCAATAAATCAAAGCGCTGCAAGTCGCCTCTCCGATCTGAGTGCGTACATACAACAATGGTGCGTCAATGTCGTCGTACCGTTGTGTCATGAACTCGCGGTCGATCTTTGAAATGTAGGCGTGAAGGTCGACAACCTCTACTCCGACTTCCATTAACGGAGCTGGTACTGCAGTGTGCAAGTAATCCCGCAATTGTGCCATAAGTACGTTGCAATGCGGTTTCGGCAATCGACCGGTCGGGGGAACGGGCATCCACTGGAAGTCCGTGAACGTCAACGGGTCGAGCACCTCAAGTCTTGACCATGACGTTGAATCCTTGTCGGTAGATGGTGGTGATGTTGCCGAATCGGTTGCCGATGATGGTGAAGCCATGCATGCGGTAGATTGTTGCACGTGGAGCGGTTGGTCCAACGGTGGGACCAAGTGGACAGCATAGTCCTCATAAGTATACCGAGAACTTGCGACATTCGCATCCTCCCTAGATGTGTAGGAGGCCGCTAGCAAGGCGGCCGAATCTGGCGGAGTGAGAGGTGGAGTCGCCTCACCTCCTGCGCAACTCAGTTTCCCGAGTTGATACGAGGCCGCACATCCTCCTTGCCTTGATCCTGACAGAGGGAGATCTTGTGCTTGGTGCTGTTGCTTCAGTAGCAGCAACCGTAGCGGCCGCGATACTTGTACTCGGCCTCGGTTAAGTGAAACTTGACCCATGGTGCAGGCTGTCCAAGTCCAGACGGAGATGTGGTCTTCGCCTTCCCATTGTTGCGGGACTTGTTGTTGCTTCTCGGCTGGACAACAACCACCTGATCTCCCTCACGTGATGCTGGAGTGGCTGCTGGGTCTTCTCCACTGTCCGATTGGACTGTAGCGACATGCTGCGGCCGCGGACAAGTCTTTACCTTCTCCACATAGGCCGGCTGCCACGGTGACCTCTCGTGTGCCGCTGACCTATTGGTCTTGATGATCTCTCTCGCCTTGTCAATGATCGCGGCGAAAGTTGTGTACTGCTCCCGATCACCAAGTGCCTGGCTCAATGCAGCGTATGACCTGTTGTAGAACTCATGACGCAGATGCGGAAACGGTAAGTCAAGATCAGGTGTTGCCGCAATCTTCTGCCATTCCGTGAGTCAGTCACGTGTTGTTGTATTGCCTTGAGTGATGGTGAAAAGACGGTTGATGGCGAGGGCTGGTGCGTCGTCGACGATGAACCACTTCTTCCACAATCGTGTTAACTCTTCCCATGAGATCTTGTCCTTCAGATTCGCGATGTCGATGCCGTGGGTGGCTGCCAGGTGGGTTAACCAGATCTGGCATCCGCCCTTTGAGTTCATGAACAGGGCGCCGATGTACGCATGTTTGGCAACAGGCAGAATCCGAAGTTGCGTCGTGAATGCTTYCCACCAGAGGACCGGATCCTGATGTGTGTAGTCGTCGAACTTCTCCAGTTGGAAGGTTGGCATCTTGTACAGCTTTGGATTGCCATCTGAGTTCGTTGACTGCAGTTGCTGGACCTCGGTCTTCAATGTGTCCAGCTGGCTGCTGATGGTGGTTGGCGCAGCGAAGGTGATGATGTCGCCGAGCATTGCCACCACGTGGTCAACGCGTTGCTCTAGTTGGCGGTTGGAGGGTGCACTGCTGGACTCACCAGCATTCGGTCTTGGTGCAGCTTGTTCCAGGTCCAGCACACGGGAATTGAGTGCCCGTGTTGCATCCTCGTGGCTCTGCACTGTCTGGCAGAGTTGTGCCAACTCTTGGTGCTGTTGTCTCAGATCCTGGTACTACTGCTGTAGTTTCTAGTTCTGACTCTCTAACTCGGACTGTTGGTAGTTGCAAGCATACAACAACCGTGTCACGAGTTTGGAGAGGAACTCCCTATGCTGCTCTTCCGGTGTCGCCTCGTCGCCGTTGGGTTTAAAATGCCAGAACTTGAGTCTCTCGATGCTGGTTGTTTTTCATGCCGCTGCAGCAGATCTTGGGCTTCCTCGCATCGAGCCAGGAAATATGCATCCGCTTCGGCTTGAAGTCGCTGCCGCTCGGCTGCAGCTGCCGCTTCAGCCTGGAGGCGGGCACCCTCGGCTGCCGCCTGCCGCTGTTCCTCATCCCCGATTAGGGCGAGATGAGCCTGTATACGCTGTCGGTAATCGGCAATTGACTCATTGGCCAGTTGGCGTGGCAAGCCGAGAACCGGTACTGCCATGGTGGCGGGGCCCTGCTGAGATGGAACTACTCACTAGATGACGTGGCACTGATGACGTGGCACAGATGCTGACGTGGCACTGCTGACATGGCACAGATGCTGACGTGGCACTGCTGACGTGGCACAGATGCTAACGTGGCACTGTTGACGTGGCACAGATGCTGACGTGGCACTG